GAATGTCATCTGCAAACATAAGGCAGTTCATTGACATTTTTTGCAGAGTCACTCCAGGTTTATAGTTTTCATCAAATATTTCTGATAGATCATTTATATATAAATTAAATAAGTTTGGACTCATATTATCCCCTTGTTTCCACTCCTCTATCAATAGAGACATATTCAGATATATTCTCCTTTAATTTCACTGAAGCCTTAGTATTCGTATACATATTTTTTATCAGATTATAAAATGTCCTAACAATGTTCTCAATTTTTGTTAGTTGATACAAAAGACCTAACCTCCACACTGAATCAAATGCCTTTTTTAGGTCTACAAAACATCCATGAATCTTTTTGTTTTAAAAGTTTATATATTTATTGAACAGAGTCTTTACTATAAACACACCATCTGAAGTCCTACTGTTCTTCTTAAATCCTAGTTGATGGTGGCATATATCATTTTCAAATAAAGTAAGTAACCTACAATTTATAACGATATTAAATAATGTGCTCAGACAGCTCATCAGAGAAATTCCTCTGTAGTTTGAAGGATTTAAATATAGGAACTATAAATGATTTATTCCAATTTTCAGGATATAGAGAGGTAGATAATATAAGGTTAAAATATTTAGTTAAAACATTACAGAACTACTATGTTTTACAATATCAGATCATATCATAACAAATTTTATCTGGTCCACAACTTTTCCCACTTTTTAATCTTTTAATTTGTGTTTTTATTTCAGATATAGTTATTGGTTTATCACTGTCTTTTGAAGTAGTTCTTCAAAAATACTGTTCTCAAAATTTTTATCAATCTATTCAGGTCTACCCTGAGTTTTAAAGTGATTTGCAAATTGACTTAAATCAATCATATTCTCATCATTCTTGTCCTTATTTTTTTTTTTATTGTTCTTAATATCCAAAATTCTTTGCTTTCGTTTGGTGACATGTTGTCTAGTTTATTCAAAACATTCAGTTTAAATTCTCTTTTTTTATGTTTAGAAGCTTTTTTAAAATGTTTTGAATAAAAGAAGTATTTCAGTCTTATATATTGGTCAAAGGGAGATAACTTTAATCTTTTACCATTTTAATTAACAGTACTTTATGCAAAACAATTTGAGTCTGTCCAGTTAGATATTCTTTTTCCTTTCTTTTTAAAATATTTTTTCTCATACTTTTATGTGATGAATTTATATAAATGTCTGAACTAAAGTCTGTAGCTCTGTTCAGTCCCTCCTGTGTATTTTCAAAATGTGTTTGTTGAGAATTGTTTAATTCTTCATCTATATATTTTTCTCTCATCTCATTCTCAAGCAAGAGTTTTGAAGTCTTTGTCCATTTCAATTCAAAATCTATTTTTTTATTTTTATTATTTACATTTGTTTTTTTTCCATCACATTCTAAATGGGTAACAATTTGATTATGATCTGAGAAGTATGAAGGAGTTTTAACTAGAAAATAATTCACTCAGGAGAGTAGACTCTCACTAGTTATTGCATAATCAACTATACTACACCCTTTCATGTTAAAAATGTCATATTTCCTAACAAATCTCTAATTAGAATGCGGAGTTCAGGGCAGAACACAGAGGTCTAGTAACGAAAGCCCTCCATTGTGGGTTTATGATTTAATCTTGTCAATGACTTTTTCTAGACAGTTGAAAATCTGATTTAAAGTTATCTGGTAAAATATGAGTCATATTTATGTTGTTTTCATCATATGCTACAAAACCAAAATAATTAGATACTCTTGAGTTAAAATCACCCATTGACAAAAACTTTCCTTTACTAGAAAGAAAACTTATTTCTGATTCCAATCCTTCATATTCATTGTTTTAATAAGGGGAATTTTTTGGTGGAATATATATGCCACATATATACAAATCTTCTTAAAGTCCAAAAATTGACTGATTTAGTTTCATCCACAATCTATTCTGAAATTGTGCTACATTTTTTTAGATAAGTTAAATTTCTTTTCAAATGTTTTCTTATAGTAAACAATAATCCCCCCACTATTTCTCTTTGCTTTATTAGCTTTTATTAGTTTTTGTTACAATAAAAACTATATTCAGGTATTTGGATATCAGGTTTCTTCCCTTTCCAAGTTTCTATCAATATATTAAGGTCATGGTTTATCAATTCCAAGAAATCAGGGCCTCTGTGTTTCTATCCCAATCCATGAACATTCCAGCTAGATATAGAAACAGAATCTATAGATGAAAATTTTAAATAAAACATGTTAATTATGCAAGAAATCTCCCCATTCAAGCATATAAATTCATATGCAACTATATTTGAACATATTTATCTTTTTCTAAGATGTTTATGACAAAAAAAATATCTTGTTTGACATATATACCCACATTTAGATCAAGTTCACATTTTGAAGTTATACACAGTCCCATACACACTAACATACCTAAATACAATTATGCCATATACACACAAATTCAGAGACCTGGTACAAATCTATGCATTAATATATCTATATATATATGTTGAAAATAAATTTCATGTAGATCAAATCTCAAATAATTAACAAATATTAAGCTAAAGAAATTATCATATTCCAAAATATGATAATAGAGCTTAATTATTATCATTTTTTTTTATCTCTATTTTTGAAACATACATTATTCTCTTAATTTCAAATAAACTTGTAAGTTAATATTGGTTTTGATTTATGACTCAAGACAATAAAATAAGTGCCAATACACAAGAAATTATCCTATACCTACAAGATAATTTATTTCACATGTTCTTTCTTGTATTTTTATATTAAAATTATATAAACAGTCAATGTTGAATTGTGACAATATTAAAAAGTAAAAAATCTTATAATATCCACATTCTTATGGATAGTAAGGTATTATATTTTTCTGGTATATTTTCTAGATTTCCAAAATCAAAGTTAAGGATAATGAGTTTAAATTTCAACAATTTTTATGCAACTTTAACAGGTAGTAATATCTAACTCTTTAGTACAATTCTTTCAAAAGAGATGTTAAAACCCATTTAAGCTTTTTTTCAGCATTTTTATGATGGATGGATTCATGCATTTTACTTTTGTCCTTGTACCATGATCATAATCAAAATATTGATAGCAGAATGTATAAAAATCAATGTGAAAACTAACTACAAACAGTTTTTTTAATTTGGGACACAGCATTTTATTCCAAAATAGCCCGTGGCAATTTTTGTTTTTAAAATTTTGATTACAGTACAATGAAATCTTACCCTTGTTGTCATTCATGCTTAGTTACTTAGTACACGGAAAAAGTATGTACTATGAAACTTCGAAGGCAAATTCAAGCAATTTGATTGGACAAGAAGTTGTAAGTATGTGCTAAATATGTATAGATACTGGGTATACAATTTAATTTGGTATATGTAATACTATGTATATACAAATATTTGAAATAAAAAATAAAAAATTTAAGCTTCTTTTGAATAACTGAAATGAGAAATAAATAGGGTATTGCATTAAATACATTTTGCTTTGGTGGTTTGACATCTAAAGTTTTAAAGATGACAAAAAGAATAATGTTCAACATAACCAAAGACATTATGCATAACGTAGACATTTAATTGACTAAAATTTATAAGCGAAATTATTTAATCAAAACCATTTCTATCAAAAATTGCATTATGCATAATATAAATCAGTTTCCTGATAAAAATTGCAGGTTGTTAATGTAAACGGCAATTAACTTAGAAAAAAATATCATCCCACATATATTTATAAACGAGTATGTCAAAACCCCTACACCTCGCTGAATATCACCGCATCGGTGGTCTCAAGGTAGCGTGCTCGCATCGATTGCGAGGTTCGAAGGTTGGAGAGAAGGACTGTTACCTTGTAAACTATCACGTTAAAATCCAACTCAATGTGTCGGTATAGTACAAAGCAGGGTTCATATGCACATGACATTAACATGTTCTCATCCTGAATATGCATTTAATTTGCCACTGGACTTTTAGCAGCCATCCATCGATCCAGAATGTCAGATTTTGTGAAGACACAATACATGTCTTATTTTAGGAATTTTTTTATTAACATAAAACCGTCAAGAACAACAAATCATTTTATTTCCCTCTTAATCGGGGTTTGTCCCCTTAATCACTATGATTAAATCTTTTACAGAATTAACCTATTTAATACATTTTTTTTAAATTCACATGAAATGAGTTTCTTGTAATTATATAGGGAAATTAATGAACCAATGCATGCATGCATATATACTAAACTAAGTCCTATATGCACTTATATTTCTAAAATAGTTTTAAGTTTAGAGTTTGAGTCAAGCTGGTTAAAATTAGGATAATGGGTTTTAATTGCATTTATAAGGGGATTTCTAATATTACTGCTGATTTGGCAATGAAGGAAAAAGTGTTCCTCGTCATCTAAAATTTTACAAACTTTACACACTCTATGTTCTCTTTGAAATTTCTTATATCGACCTATTTCAATTTCCAAGTTATGGTCTCTTATACGGAATTTTGTTATACTGTGTATTGCTATTGCAGACGGACAATTCATCATTCTTGATATTTAGTCAGTCCTTTACATTTAACTTGATTTTCATACAATCAGCAATTTACACTTGAAGAAAGTCTTTTTTTAATTTGAATTCTTTCCCAAAATGTTTCAGGAAAATACCAGAGACAAATCAAATACATGTGTTTTAAACGACTCAAGCCTAGCATTGTTTGCTTTGATACCAGCTTGTGCACGCTGTATTAAATTTATTTTAAAGTGAATAAATTTCTATTGTCTATTATCTAAAATGTTTCTGAATGGAACGCCCAATAACGTGGACTTAATGTGAAAATAAAATGTTTTACATTTTTAATTCCGGAAGAACGAAAATAAATCGGAGGTTAAGTGGCCATCAGAAAAAAATCCCAAACATTAACAATATTTCAACTGTAATGTACGCTGTTGTAATTAGAGTGAAAAGTATATAATTGATTTTATCCCGGCTGAATGGTAAATAAACATGAAGAACTTACCAATGTTTTCGATTCTTCGTTTAAAAACGCTATGTGTAAAGACAAAGAGCATACTATCATAATTCTGAGCAATTAAAATGAAACTCGATAACACAAAATCTGTATCCATTAAAATGAAACCTGAATAGCGCACGAAAGGTTCTCAGAAATTTGACATGCAGAAAAAATAATGATTACGGTTAACACATTAAATTTACATGAAAATGAAAGTTGTTTCTTTGTAAAGATTGCAATATACGAACCATTCGTAATATACATGTACCAGGTTAACCTTTCCTTTTAAAAATACGTCATGTACACCAGTCCTGTTACAATTCAATATATTGTTACAAAGGTGTCTGTCCGTTTCGTATTTTTCTACTTAATGCAACCCAATATAATCTACAACTCTGCATACCTGGAATCTTTAGATTATTCCCTAAAATGTGCACATACACAAACTGTGTATCGCTTTTGGGGGGAACAGTTTATAATAATTCCCTGCATGAGTTATCGTAAACTTGTGTGATATCAGTTGAATATTGAATAACATTTTTTTTTTTTCTTCCATTAAATATATTCTAGATGGGTCAAATTACTAGCCAGATGAATATGAAATAGATCAATAAAATAATAACTATGCAGAAAATTTTGTAAATAAAATTCAGTTTTCACTTCTTTTTAATTCCTTAATGTCATATTAATATATTCATAATTATTCTTGTGCGTTGAAAATAATGTTTGGTGCCCAAAAATAAGCAAAACGCCGATTCAACCTCAGACACTTCTAAGAATGCTACACGTAATGGACCTTATTTAAGAATTGAATGCTTCTTTTTGTAACTTGATTGGGGTGTAAAAGCGTTGAACGAAGTACATTTTGTATAAAGCGCGGAAGCGCTTCATTCTAAAAATGTGCGCACGGTCAACGCTTTTACAACCCTATGAAGTTACAAAAAGAAGCATTCAATACTTATAATTACATTTTTAGCTCGATTTTTATCAAGTTTTTATTTAATTTACCTGTGCACTTTATTGTGGGACCTCGTGTCATCATGAATGATATATTTTATTGTGTAATGAAGTTGATTAAGGAATAACGCGAGATTACAGTGTAGCCAATCAGAATAACGTATTATAATGAAACATGCATATAATAATGTAATTATTTGTAATTGTTTACGATGAAAGTTTCTGTGTACTGTCGTGATAGTTTTTAATCCGTTTTCTCACCTAAAAATAGGATTTTGTCAAATTAAATTAATGATGAAAATATGATATATGGGTTTGTTTTAGTTAAAAAAAACAACTGTTTTTGTCCATTAACTCGCATATACTCAAAGTACATGTTAAAGCCTAGAATATTATCATAAATGACATATATACTAAAATTATTATTCAGATCAAACAAATTTTGTTATGTACAGTGCTTTTAATTGTGGTTCTTATCGTATAACCTCAAGAAAAGCCCTCGAAGGGAAAACGTGTATGTGATTAAACAAATTATGGTTCAATTTGAAAACTGAAGGAAATGAAAAACACCAAATCAGACCTATTCAATTTCATTATGACCCCATTTCTATTCAAGACAGGCTCCGTGTTGAAGGCCGTACTTGACCTATGATTGTTAACTTTTTTACACATTATGACTTTGATGGAGAGTTGTCTCATTGGCACTCATACCATATCTTATTTATATGAAATGTAAACCCATGCTATTCATGATAAACGACTGAAATCATTATATATATCAATATATGTTTCAAAATTAAGTATTAGATACAGAACAAAGGTAACAAAAAAAACAGGCTGGTAACAAATAAATTAGTATTTTGCGTAAACACTAGCGCTTCTAAATTGTATCAGCTGTGTGCGAGTAAAATGTAAATTATTGCATATTCCTTTGATACATATCAGTGAAGTAGGAGTAGACTGAAAAGTTGAGATAGGGGAGGGGGGACTTCTTAAAGTGACAAGCAAAAAAAAACAAAAAAAAACTAGAGGCTCTAAAGAGCCTGTGTCGCTCACCTTGGTCTATATGCATATTCAACAAAGGACACTCTCCAACATTGTAGACGAGAATAGAATTAATGACAAAAATCTTTGTTTTTTTTATCTGATGTTGCTGATCATTGAAGTCTGTTTAGAAAGTTTCTCTCTATCTTATTTAGCTTTTGCTCCAAACACAACTGAGCGGGTAAAAAAATCCTAATTTAAGGGCAATAACTCCTATAAAGAGTAACAGTCTACTAATTAATTCGGCAAAATTTGACTTGTTAGTAGGTCTTGTCTTGCTTTTCATTTTTGATTATCTAAGTTTCGATCTATCTATTATAATTTCTATCATATTAGGCAAAACGCAAAAAAATGGTAAAAATCGTCATTAAAGGGCAATAACTCCAATAGAGAATCGTTGGACAATTTCCACCATTTGTCTTAATTGTAGATCTTGTCTTGCTGATCATTTTTGTTTATTTAAGTATTATAAGTTTTAAAATATAAGACAAAAACGCAAAAAAAAATAATTGTACAAATCGTCATCAAAGGGCAATAACTCTAATAAGGAGTCAACTGACGATTTCAACCATAAGACTTATTTGTAGAACTTGTCTTTCTGATCATTTTTGCAATTTAAAGTTTCTCTCTATCCATTATAGTTTTCAAGATAATAGGCAAAAACGAAAAAAAGTGGTAAAATTTGTCATTTAAGGGCAATAACTCCTACAGGAAATCGTCTGACAGTTTTGACGTATACAGACAATTAGTAGAGCTCAACATTCTGAGCATTTTTTATCCTTTCAAATTTCCTCTATTTATAACTGTTATCAGAATAATAGACAAAACTTGCATTTTACCCCATATGTTCTATTTTTAGCCACGTCGTCCATCTTTGTTTGGCAGGCGGGGTCATCCGACACATTTTTTAAACTAAATACCCTAATGATGATTGTGGCCAAGTTTGATTCTATTTGGCCAAGTAGTTTCATAGAAGATTTTTGTAAAAGATTACAAAAATTTACGAAAAACTTTTAAAAGATGACTATAAAGAGCAATAACTCCTTAAGGGGTCAATTGACAATTTGTGTCATTTAACTTATTTGTAGATCTTACTTTGCTGAACATTAATGTTGCTTACAGTTTACCTCTATCTATAATAATAATATTCAAGATAAGTACCAAAAACTGTAAAATTTCCTTAAAATTAACAATTCAGGGGCAGCAACCCAACAACGGGTTGCTTGATTCGTCTGAAAACTTTAAGGCAGATAGATCTCAACCTGGTGAACATTTTACCTCCGATCAGATTTGCTCTAAATGCTTTAGTTTTAGAGATATAAGCCAAAAACTGCATTTTACCCCTATGTTCTATTTTTAGCCATGTTGGTTGGCAAGCGGGGTCGTCGGACAAATTTTTAAAACTAAATACTCAAATAATGATTATGGCCAAGTTTGATTCTATTTGGCCCAGTAGTTTCAGAGGAGAAGACTTTTGTAAAAGATTACAAAAATTTACGAAAAAGTGTTAAAAGTTGACTATAACGGGCATTAACTCCTGAAGGGGTCAATTGACAATTTTAGTCATGTTAACTTATTTGTAGATCTTACTTTGCTGAACATTATTGCTGTTTACAAATTATCTCTATTTATAATAATATTCAAGATAAGTACCCTAAAACTGCGAAATTTTCTTAAAATTACCAATTCAGGGGCAGCAACCCAACAACGGGTTGTCGGATTTGTCTGAAAATGTCAGGGCAGATCGATCTTGACCTGATGAACAATGTTATCCAGTCCGATTTGCTCTAAATGCTTTGGTTTCAGAGATATAAGCCAAAATCTACATTTTACCCTTATGTTCTATTTTTAGCCATGGCGGCCATCTTAGTTGTTGGGCCGGTCATCGGACAAATTTTTTAAACTAGATACCCCAATTATGATTTTGTCTGAGTTTGGTTAACTTTAGCCCAGTAGTTTCAGAGAAGAAGATTTTTGTAAAAGTTAACGACGGACGACGTGATGAGAAAAATCTCACTTGGCCCTTTTGGGCCAGGTGAGCTAAAAAGGCCTTTAATCTATATTTTCTATCATAATAGTCTAATAGTCTAGACATAAGTTAATGTCCTGTTTCGTAGCCACTTTATATTTTAATAACAAGATTAATTGCTAAAGGGGTTGATTGGGGGGGGGGGGGGGGGGTCTTATAGTTTTGTCCCTCACCATTGCAAGTGTGTAATGCGGTTATGGTCCCCTTTCCCGGCTCCTACGCCCCTGTATTTATATATACCCCTCCACACCAAGAAAAAAAGCATACATACGTATAAACAAACAAAGTCAAACAAAGAAATATATTTTGCCTCCTCCATCCCCCATTTTGAAAGTGGGGGGATTGCCCCCTTCCCCGGCTCATACCCCCCTCAAAAAAAAAAACACAAAAAAAAACACAAAAAAGAAAAAAGAAAATAAACAACAAAAATATGAATAACAGATTTAAGACATTTAAAAATAAAACGACGTATGCAATAAGAGAGAGTAATCAGACAAACGTAATACAACATGTATAAATATTGTCAATTTTTTTTTTTAATTTCATGCTCATTACAGTAATGTGATATTCGAGTAGACCCAAGTATTGATCACGTGACACAATATATTTTTCAGTTTCCATCCCTATATCCAAAACGGGTGGACGTTTATTGACGTTAAGACTGATTTTGTGCTTTCACAATTCGACTTAAGCAAATGCCTTGAAGGGAAAATCCTCCGTATAGTTCGATTTAGACGATTTAAATGATTTCAGCTTAACTGCTAAACAAATCCACGGTTGCAGTTACTCTTGCAGTCAGTAACTTCGCAGACACTTTATTTAGTTTCAGCATTTTGGGACATAGTTAGCTTTTTTATAATTATAATTTTTATGAACACTTTTCATATAAATTGCATTTATAAAACGAGGTAATTAGGTCACAAGGTGTACGATAAAGTGCCTCTGAACTTATTGAATGCACGAGTGACTCTATTCATAAAACGTGTCCGTTTAGCACATACTTACA